GTTGGAAATTGGGACGTTTTGTTTGTGAACTTGTATTCATTTTTATTTTTATTTATTTTTATTTGAAAGTGGCGAAGTGTTTTTATTTTTCATGTTTGAAGCTATGCTGTGCTCTTTGGCGTCTAACTAGTCAATTAGACCCTGACTGCTTGCTTGCTTTATTTATTTATTTAATTATTCCTTCCTTCATGTGGACTTTTAATTACTACTGTATATTATTTTATGAGACTACTTTAAACATACATATTTGCATTAATATAAACATTTGATAATATAGATATCTATAATTAAATATTTAAACAATTTAATAACTTTAAATTTACATTAAATATTAATATAATGTTTAATAATGTATTTTTATATTATTATACTGTTTTCTAAAATATTAAATATTTGTAAGTCATTTTTTACATTTAAATATATGCATTTATAATGTAAGCAATGTAATAACGTTATTTATTAATAAAGATAATATTAATTTCGTTAATAAAGTTTATAAAAATAATTTACATAATGTATTTTTAAATATACTATTATAAATTGTTTTGATTACAAATGTTATTTGTATTCTTAATTTTATATATATGGTCAGGTGAACCCAACAACCATTATTATATATTACATACCAAAATTATACTGGGCTTCCTAAAGACGGATTAGTCAGCCAGTCATTCAGTCAAAACATGCAGTTTTTCACATCTCTAGTCCAGTCATCATTTCAGAAAGTATTTTGCATGTCCTATTTGATTTTGAGTAAAAATGTCTAAACCTTTGGCCAACAAAAGCCAAAAAAGAGATGAAAACACTGCGTCTGTAATTACTTTAACTGTCACTGGAAAATAAATTTTTTTTTTTTCATCCACGGTGCTCTGTTATTCACTGCACACAGTAGACATACTGTATGCTTCAGAAATAGTAAGAGAAGTATGTTAATATGTTATTCTGAACATATATGAACTGACTGGCCTTAAAGAGAGATTTTGCATCTGCTCTCTCCGTTTCTCTCTGTATAATTTGCTCTCATTAGCAGCTGTCGTAGATCCAGACACAACAGGGGGTGACAGTCCATCAACACCCCTTCAATTCCCTAAAGTCTGTGTGTGTGTGTGTGTGTGTGTGTGTGTGTGCCAAATGCTGGTCCATGGCAGCCACTTTTCCTCCTGGCAACGATCTTTTTTTCCTGCTTTTGCCATTACACTGGCACTGTGTGTATGTGTGTTTAGTCAAAGACTTGAACATGCCAGTGTGTGTGTGTGTGTGTGTGTGTGTGTGTAAGGAGTGAAAGCCTTCTTCTATCAGAGGCTGTCTGGTTTATGGTCACCAAAATGACACAAGATTGGTTATATTTAATTAAATCAGAAAGAAGAGGAGAGATTCATTATTATGGTCTCAGTATTTCTACTTCTGTCATGACAGCTCTCGGGGGGATTGGCATGGTAATGTACATGACAATGTTAATGTATTTGGTCTTGGCGGAATAGATCTGCTACGCTGCTGCTGCAGAGCAAGTACCAAGACTTGCTACTGCCAATACATCCACAACATGCTGCTGTGAGCATGTAAGAAATCCTGCTGCTGCAAATATAACACACATGAAATAACCCCCATATAGCATACATCAATCACCTCGTAGCAGATCTATACAGGTGGAGCTGGGGAAGGTGGAGGGTTTCTGAAGCAAGCTGTGACTGCTACGGCAAGCCCTAGTCATATATTTGAATGTTGAGCAGCGAGCTCATTGGCTACCGATACAGGAGAGAACCAATCAGCTGTGCCATGTGATAATGATGTCATTAGGTCAGATTGAGTTAGACCTATCGGACTGCGCCATCTAGAGTTTCATGCCAGAACTCTGTATTTGTGATATTTTTGACAAATAGATTATGAAGGGCAAACCTCATGAAACCATAAATGAATACATGAAAATAAGCAATTATAATTTGCTTAAAGAAAATTAATTTTAGGACCATGTAAGGCCATTGCAAAGTATATTTTCATGACAATTGAATATTTCTCCGCTTTCTATTTCTTTTACCAGAAGTGACCAGTGTTTGGCTCTTCTGAGATGATCAAGGTTTGCTTTTATCAGTTAATTTATTTCCCTACATTTTTCAGGTTGTTAAGGTGTTGCTAAGATATTCTAATTTGTTTTTAGCACATTTTGGTTGCTTCAGTGTTTTGGCCGGTTGCTAGGGAGTTGCTAAGGTGTTCAGAAGTTTGCCCAATTTTATGTGGTTGCTAAGTTTTTCTTGTCCTGCATGTAAAAACCATACATGTGATCAATTCAGCACACCTCTCTTTAGCAAAACACATGATTTGATAAGAGAGTTTGGCTTTTCTGAGATTATCAAAGGTTGCTATTATCAGTATGTTTATTTCTCGTGGTTGTTGCATTGAAGTACTGTGAATGTCCTCCTATGTTTGCTCCACACGTCATGTTAAATAAAGCTCCAGATGTGTGTATGCGTGGAACCTGCCGCAGTGGAGGGCCAGATGTACCTCGCTGTGTTTCTTGTGGTGGGTTTGTAAGGTGCTCTGGCAGGAGAATTCAGCACTTTGGACAGCACCTTGGCTTTTCTTTCTCACACTCCGAGAAACATCTGCGGCTGCTGGTTAACAGCTGCAGCTGTTTCGCCAAAGGTGTACAGAAACACTATTCACCAGCTGGGATGAAACCAGCTCATCACACTTTTTTCATGTTTGGAAGATAAGCAGAAATTTTTACTAATCAGAAATTCTCATTTGAAATTATTTTTCTAAATGCATGTATTTCTATTCCATATCTCTATAGTCCCATGTCATTTTAATGATGACGTACAGATACAATATCATGTTTTCTTGAAGATATTGAAAATCTGAACACATCAACTGATTTTGTTGATCATATTAATTATGAGTTTCTAACAGTGTAGATAAAACCTATAGCTTTTTTTTAAGCATGCAAATGCCACTGCCATTATATTAGGTGCTTTGGCTGGTTGCTAGAGTGTTGCCATGCAGTTGCTAAGGTGTTCTAATTTGTTTTTAGCCCACTGTTATGTGGTTGCTAGGGTGTTGCTATGCAGTTTTTAAACTCCGAGAAATATCTGCGGCTGCTGGTTAACAGCTGCAGCTGTTTCGCCAAAGGTGTACAGAAACACTATTCACCAGCTGGGATGAAACCAGCTCATCACACTTTTTTCATGTTTGGAAGATAAGCAGAAATTTTTACTAATCAGAAATTCTCATTTGAAATTATTTTTCTAAATGCATGTATTTCTATTCCATATCTCTATAGTCCCATGTCATTTTAATGATGACGTACAGATACAATATCATGTTTTCTTGAAGATATTGAAAATCTGAACACATCAACTGATTTTGTTGATCATATTAATTATGAGTTTCTAACAGTGTAGATAAAACCTATAGCTTTTTTTTAAGCATGCAAATACCACTGCCATTATATTAGGTGCTTTGGCTGGTTGCTAGAGTGTTGCCATGCAGTTGCTAAGGTGTTCTAATTTGTTTTTAGCCCACTGTTATGTGGTTGCTAGGGTGTTGCTATGCAGTTTTTAAAGTGTTCTAATTTGTTTTTTTAGCACAATGTTATGTAGTTGCTAGGGTGTTGCAATGCAGTTGCTAAGGTGTTCTGATTTGTTTTTAGCCCACAGTTATGTGGTTGCTAAGGTGTTGCTATGCAGTTTTAAGGTGTTCTCATTTGTTATTTAGCACAATGTTATGTAGTTGCTAGGGTGTTGCTATGCACTGCAGTTGCTAAGGTGTTCTAATTTGTCTTTAGCCCACTGTTATGTGGTTGCTAGGGGGTTTTTATGCCGTTTTTAAGGTGTTCTAATTTGTTTTTTTAGCACAATGTTATGTAGTTGCTAGGGTGTTGCAATGCAGTTGCTAAGGTGTTCTGATTTGTTTTTAGCGCACAGTTATGTGGTTGCTAAGGTGTTGCTATGCAGTTTTAAGGTGTTCTCATTTTCTATTTAGCACAATGTTATGTAGTTGCTAGGGTGTTGCTATGCACTGCAGTTGCTAAGGTGTTCTAATTTGTCTTTAGCCCACTGTTATGTGGTTGCTAGGGGGTTTTTATGCCGTTTTTAAGGTGTTCTAATTTGTTTTTTTAGCACAATGTTATGTAGTTGCTAGGGTGTTGCAATGCAGTTGCTAAGGTGTTCTGATTTGTTTTTAGCCCACTGTTATGTGGTTGCTAAGGTGTTGCTATGCAGTTTTAAGGTGTTCTCATTTGCTATTTAGCACAATGTTATGTAGTTGCTAGGGTGTTGCTATGCACTGCAGTTGCTAAGGTGTTCTATTTTGTTTTTTAAACACAATGTTAAATTGTTGCTGGGTTGTTCTGGCTGGTTGCTAGTATGTTGCCATGCAGTTGCTGTGGTTGTGAGGGTGTTGCTGAGGTATTCTAATTGTTTTTAGCACTATGCTATGTTTTCGTTAGAGTGTTTCTATGCAGTTGCCAAGGTGTTCTAATTGGTTTTTAGCACAATGGTATGTGGCTACCAGGGTGTTCTAATATGTTTTTAGCACGGTGTGGTTGCTAGGGTGTTGCTATGCAGTTCGTAAAGTGTACTAAATTGTTTTTAGCACAGTGTGGTTGCTAGGGTGTTTTGGCTGGTTGCTAGTGTGCTAGTTGCTAAGGTATTCTGATTGTTTTTTTAGCACATTGCTTGGTTGCTATGGTGTTTTGGCTGTTTCTAGGGTGTTGCCATGCAGTTTCTAAGGTGTTCTAATTTGTTTTTGCCCAATGTTATGTGGTTGCTATGCTGTTTATTTTGTCCAGCATGTGATCTCAACATAACAGCACGCTTCTCCTCAGCAAGATTTGATGGTGTAATAGACAGATACTTGGGTTTGCTTAAATCTCTAACCTGTCGTATGAGCAACAGTAAATGTGACGCTAGCTCTATGTTGATTTTGCAAGTTTGTGCATGCAAATTTGTTGGTGTTTGAGTCCTGTTGAGCAGATATCACAGCCTCTTCCCTCTTCCCCCCAGGCAGCAGGGAGGCGGCATTCACCTACGCCATCACCGCCGCTGGGGTCGCCCACGCCGTGACGGCCGCATGCAGCCAGGGCAACATGAGCCACTGCAGCTGCGACAGGGAGAAACAGGGCTATTACAACCAGGAGGAGGGCTGGAAATGGGGCGGATGCTCGGCAGACATTAAATACGGCATTGAATTCTCCCGGAAGTTTGTGGATGCCCGGGAGATTAAAAAAAATGCCCGACGGCTGATGAACCTTCATAACAACGAAGCTGGCCGAAAGGTGAGGCTTTTTTTCTGCACGAGCTTAAACAATTCAGTTCAACGTTGTTTCTGCAAGACTGCCAGACCGTTCATCCAAATATTTTGTTTGAATGCACGGTTTGGAAAAGAGTCCAGACAACGCGTCTTAATCTGTTTAGACTTCAGAAGCTTTTCGAAAAACTTTGAAGCTTGGTAGAGTTTGAAGAAACAAATAAAGTCGTATGCGTTCATTTGTTATTTCTCAAGAGCATTTTAATTTGACAATTTACCAACATTGGTCGTGGTCGCCTTGCAGAAACATTTATCCGGTTTTGTTTGACTGCACGGTTGGGAAAATCTTCAAGACAATGCTGCTTAATCTGTTTTAGATGTTGGAGACGTTGAACCTTGGAAGCGCCTTTTGGCTACCGTTTAGTTGAAGAAACAAATAACAAATTCTTCAGAAATGTATCCATTAATTTATGCTAAAAAGACAAATGCATTTAGACTTTGATGCCATTTTTTTAACTTAAAGAGCATTTTAGAGTTTGGCTTTGTGAAGACGAGCGATGTGGCTCTTCTTGACGGTCCTCTAGAGGCGTTCGCTCTTGTGTGGGTGGCGTAGTTCGTTCTTCCTACGTAAAACAGGTGTTTCGAGTGGCATCTAAAATGATTCACCCACGACCAACCCAAAGCAAGCTTGAGCGCTCCGCAACAGTCAGCCGTTTTCAGCAACCCGTTTCGCTTCAGCCAATTACTGCGTGTTTTCTCGGTTCCCGCCTTGATCCCGGTTCAAGCTCGGTTTGGCCGCTCGCCGCTCTGGCCATGTTTGTTTGTTTGATAGCTGTTAGTCATCCAAGAACACAAAACAACATGCACTGAAACAGCAGAACCGCATGCACTCCAGTGACAAATGGATCTAATTAATAACACAAAGCTTTATGGGGTGAGCGAGCCTAAGCCAAGCCGGGACTCAGCCCCAGGATCGCGGTTGCCAGTTGGAGCCTGGCCAATCCCATCGCTGGCCGCTGCATGGAATCATCAAGTCTAAAGCCTGTAACAGGATATTATTGCGAGTCTTTCTGCGGCACTGAAAACACAGCCCTCGCTCCATTGAGTCAGGCTTTTTTCTCGTCTTTTATAGAGGACCCACAATGGCAATCGTGGAGCCATAGCATCATAGGGTAAGGGGGGACGGGACGTACCATATGACTCTGGATGGGGGAAGATGGAAGTTGCCGCTCTGGAATTTCAATTGCTATCATACGTGTATGTGGTTGGAGCGAGCCGGGGCCAAAACTGGTCCACATTAGCGCTGTGGATGTAAGCGTATCCAGGCAAATGTAAACAGCGCTGCGGGCCGTCGGACGGCTTGTGAAGTAACACATCGTTCATTTTGAAACGCCGTTGCCTGCGGGCACACGCTGACTTGTTGTATGTTGAATCTACGTTAGTTCTCTGCAGATTCAACATTGATGCATTGAAGCCACGTGGAACTAATTTCGTTCAGATAATCAGTGTTTTACAAGGGAACAATTTGTTAATTGCTTAACTAATGGCTGAAAATCCAGTTTACATTTTATGAATATAATTACCGCTTGGCAGAATTAATAAAACATTCTACTTGTTATGAAATGTTTCAAAACATAGTGAGCTGGCTTGCTTTGTGTACACACTAAAATATATTTCCTTTTTCAGTTATAAAACTATACTACTACTATTTTATTTTAACAATACATTTTTAAATACATTTGTATTATTTAATATGTTTTATATTATACTGTTTTATTATTTATAAAATATAATGTTAAAAATACTATATTAAATAAATTAAAATACTATATAAATGAAGTAATATGAAAAAGCTAAATATTTTAGCTATTTTTATATACTATAAAAGTCTGTATGTATAATTTCACTTTTATATTTGTGTATTTATGTTTTTAATGTAAAAATCTAAAACAAAAAAGTGTTACATGACAATGCATATATACAGTATATATATATATATATATATATATATATAATGCAACGTAAAAATGTATATAAAATAAAAAAAAATGTCATAGACTTGTCATAGACTTTTATAGATATTATGCCTTTCAATGCAGTTAAAAAAAAAAATTAAAAAAAAGTATTATGCTTTACAATGCAGGCAGACTATGCATACATATTTTCTTCATAAACGTCTGATGCCTTAAAATCTATTTTGGCAGCTCAATAGGTTTTGGAACAAGTACATTTTTTAAAATCTAAAATCATACACCAATAATAAATTTATTCTGTTCATTTTTTTTTAGCATAATTCAATCAGTGGCCAATTAGGAACTATTTTTTATTTAAAGTGGAAAACTGGCAGCCTTCATATGAGTCATAGAAAGAGGCCAAGACTTCACTGTAGACTTTTATAAATGTCTTGCCAGAACAATCGTCCCGACCTCTTTTGTTATTGCACAGACCCTGTTGAAATCGAGATGTCCCGATCGACTTTAACTGTCAATGGCCTCGCGTGGGTCAAGACGGTTTTGTGGGATTGATCAATTATTTTACATGTGTTTTCCAGGCAACTGATAATTGCTTTTGGTAAGGGATCGTGCCAGACAGGGAAAAGGGTCTGGAAAAAGTCTTTCATACAGTATTGATATCCAATGTTCTAAAAATCTAAAAATAAAACGTCTCCTTTTCTGTGCAATACACTGTACATATTTGCTTGATGATTCGAACCCTTTCTCCATCTGCAGTGCAGGTTTCTTCCGCTTTCTTTCCATTTGCTGATGGTTGTTCGGTAGCTTCATCGCTGCTAAAGATCTGCAATGCATTAAACTGCTCAATAATCCACTTCTAACTGGGAGTATCATGGTGTTTGGTTATAGGAGATTTATATTTATTTTCCTGCTCATAGATGTGGTGTGCAGGAAGGTAGAGAGAATTACAGAGTAGGTTTGATGGGTAACTGGCAGAGAGCTGCTGGTGTGGATCAGCAGCGAGCGTCTGAAGTCTCCGGCAGTATTAATCTAGCACATTAGATCGCCGCTACGCCAGCATATGGTTTTTCCACTGCATGTACGTTGCTCGTCTTCCAAACAGCCTAGTGCAAACCATAAAAAGGCTGATTTCCGAAAGCCTGTGCTGTGTTTTAATGTTCAGAATAGCATACTATCATACTATTTCCGAAGTATGTTGAACATGCACGTTTGTGAAATTTCTGTATGCATGGGATACTCTGTCCCAGAATGCAATGTTGTCGCCTTAATCTTCCTTTTCCGTTGTGATGAGTGAACCGTAACCAATAATAATTGAACCTGTGATTTTGAATCATTTAATGAATTATTTCATTATTCTTCTGTGAATTGGTTTTATAACGTGTATTTATTTATTTTTTATATCTGCGTTATGTTTGCAACCATGAGGGACGTTTAATTTTCTGGTATGCACAAACAGCTTTGGATGAAGAAGAGCAAAATCTGCTAGTTCTGGGTTATTTAAAGCGATGTGCAAAACACTGGAAGTATGAAAGCTTAAGAACAAGCTTCTTAACAAGTTGAATGAAACAGTTGAAATTCTGACATGATTTTAAGCTCATGATTTTAAGGTGCTGTTAGTCCTTTTCCGTAGTTTCTCTGACACAATTGCAGTTGTTACACGACACTCTGACTGAGACTCGTACTGTTGTCCCGCAGGTTCTGGGAGAGCGGATGAAGCTGGAATGCAAGTGTCACGGCGTGTCGGGCTCCTGCACCACCAAAACCTGCTGGACCACGTTACCCAAGTTCCGCGAGATCGGCTACGTCCTGAAGGACAAGTACAACAAAGCGGTGCATGTGGAGGTGGTCCGCGCCTCGCGCCTGCGGCAGCCCACCTTCCTCAAGGTGAAGAAGACGCACGGTTACCAGAAGCCCTTAGAAACGGACTTGGTCTACATCGAGCGCTCGCCCAACTACTGCGAAGAGGACGCCAAAACGGGCAGCGTGGGGACGCAGGGGCGGCTGTGCAACCGGACGTCGCCGCTCACAGACGGTTGTGACCTCATGTGCTGTGGGCGGGGCTACAACACGCATCAGTACACCAAAGTGTGGCAATGCAACTGTAAATTCCAGTGGTGCTGTTTTGTGAAATGCAACACCTGTAGCGAGAGGACGGAGGTGTTTACCTGCAAATGAATGGCTCGGTGCGGTGTCGTTTTGCACAGCAGAATGTATATTTGCTTTAACACAGAGTTAAAATACTAAACTCTATCGGTAGGTACGAGCCCGGAGGTACGTGCACTGACTAAAGGACTGCAGGGTGCCAGCCGAGCATGCTGGGATTTGTAGTGTGGGGCTCGGCATCATCTCAAAACGCCACGGAGGAACTCGTCGAAGGAGCTCAATGCAAATCGAGGATGTATAAATGCCAACTGGAATCTGGTAGAGTATGTTAGCTATCCAGTCACACTGGATCTGTCTGTTTGAACACTGAAAATAAATTATTATATATTATATGTCATAGTCTCCTAAGGAACCGAAGCGCTAACGGGTAGAAATGTGTTCTTTTGTACTAAGTGTAAACCAAGAGAAAGACTTTGTAGAAGCTCGTGACTGAAAACGTCTTGTAGAGGGAAGAAAAAAGGCCTTGTGTTTTCCGACAGGAACGTTTGATGGCTAATGATGTGTTCCCGGAGGTACGTGCACTGACTAAAGGACTGCAGGGTGCCAGCCGAGCATGCTGGGATTTGTAGTGTGGGGCTCGGCATCATCTCAAAACGCCACGGAGGAACTCGTCGAAGGAGCTCAATGCAAATCGAGGATGTATAAATGCCAACTGGAATCTGGTAGAGTATGTTAGCTATCCAGTCACACTGGATCTGTCTGTTTGAACACTGAAAATAAATTATTATGTATTATATGTCATAGTCTCCTAAGGAACCGAAGCGCTAACGGGTAGAAATGTGTTCTTTTGTACTAAGTGTAAACCAAGAGAAAGACTTTGTAGAAGCTCGTGACTGAAAACGTCTTGTAGAGGGAAGAAAAAAGGCCTTGTGTTTTGATGGCTAATGATGTGTTGACTTCCGAAACCCCTGTCATTTATTTTTTGGTCAGCTGTCGCATGTTAACATGGGTTCATCTTTGCTGTAATCTAGCCGTAGTTCTCAGTAAGGTGCGCGATAGACGTTCGGGCCACTTTTCTTTTTCCGACTTTGCTAAACCAGTCTCTACGATTCAAAGATCCTTCCTCAGTTCATGAAATGTGGAACGAATATATTTCTGGATATGTTACAGAGTGCTGCACTGATATTTTTTCTATTCAGATACGATGCAATTAAAAGTAAAATAAATATCAAGTCGACTGACATCTGGGATGTTTTTGCAGGGGGAAAAAATTACCAAAATCTGGGGTTTGAAACCCATATGTTATATAATATATTGCATACAATAATTATAATAAAATAAATATATAATAATAAAACCGTACAGAACATTTTATGTAATACATTATATAATATTTCAAATTACTGTAGTATTTAATGTGTGTGTGTGTGTACATTTATATTTATAAGATAAGATATTACAGAAAATATAGCCAATAATATTGTATTTTATATTACTATTTGATATTACAGATTTTATATTTTATCTATATCATTCATATTTAATATGTTTTACATTAGTATTTAAAAATATATGTCTGTATTTTACAATACATGGTAGGTATTATATACAATATTCTAATATAATTTTATATAATGTTATATTATATGAAACAGAACATATTACATAATATTGTATATAAAATTGTAAATATAAAAAGTTACATATAAAATACTAACATATTCGTATTTTATATGTTACTTTTTATTATATAATAAATGTAACATGAAATATATCATATTTTATATGAAGATTAACACAAATAATTTCCATTACAATAACAGAGTTTGGACATACAACTCTATGGAAAGAAGTTTCTCTCCTCAATTTTAAAAGTTGACAAATCTGTTATCTTTTCTGTCCTATGCACAATTATGTTTTGTTTTTTTTTTGCATTTACTGTAGCATTTTTGGTCCCTGCTGGTGAACTGCTTTCTAAATTAGTTTTTTTTTAAAAAGTTACATATAAAATACTAACATATTCGTATTTTATATGTTACTTTTTATTATATAATAAATGTAACATGAAATATATCATATTTTATATGAAGATTAACACAAATAATTTCCATTACAATAACAGAGTTTGGACATACAACTCTATGGAAAGAAGTTTCTCTCCTCAATTTTAAAAGTTGACAAATCTGTTATCTTTTCTGTCCTATGCACAATTATGTTTTTTTTTTTTTTTGCATTTACTGTAGCATTTTTGGTCCCTGCTGGTGAACTGCTTTCTAAATTAGTTTTTTTTTTAAATGCAAAATCCATTGATGAAAAGGTTTATACTGCGTTTGGTCCCAAACGTCTGTGTCTTCAAGTGCACATGACTCCAGTTCCCTGTATTTCAGAAGCCTGAAAAACCATTAAACACACATCACCTCTCAACACAATGATCGCTAAACCCGAAAAGAATAGACTCGTCGCCATCTCCCCATTATAAATGACAAGATGAATTGCGCTGGTGGCTTTTATGCTTGTTTCCTGGCCGTGTCAGGGACAGCTTTCCACTTCCATGTCTTCGAAGCCCATTTGGGAATGTTGCCTAAAATGAGGCAGTGATATTCACAGTTACTCATATTTGAGGCCGCACTCCCAAAGGATGGAAATTGTGCCCCTATTGCACAGTTCCAGTCACAATCTTAATAGGGCATGAGGAAACATACATCATTAGATAGCATGGTTAAATCAAGCGAGCAGCTCGCCCATCCAGCCTTTCTTTACGTTTTTGAGAAAAACACATGTTTATAATATATTGTGGTCCGTTCGCTTGATTGTGGCAAAGGGGGGGGGGGGGGAAACAAGAGGGTTTAGGTTGATTCGCTCTTGGACTCCAGTAGATATTATGCTCTTTCATAGTGCTTCAGTGTATGGGACTTTGTCTCAGATGTTTCTCCTAAAATTCCTTAGGGAAAATTAAAACGTATGGAGCTTAGAGCTATAAAATGCATATGGATTTGATGAGAAATGATTGAGATCTCTGACTTTTGATCACCTCTCAACACAATGATCGCTAAACCCGAAAAGAATAGACTCGTCGCCATCTCCCCATTATAAATGACAAGATGAATTGCGCTGGTGGCTTTTATGCTTGTTTCCTGGCCGTGTCAGGGACAGCTTTCCACTTCCATGTCTTCGAAGCCCATTTGGGAATGTTGCCTAAAATGAGGCAGTGAAAAAAATTCCTTAGGGAAAATGAAAACGTATGGAGCTTAGAGCTATAAAATGCATATGGATTTGATGAGAAATGACTGAGATCTCTGACTTTTGATTGCAGACTTTGGGATCTAAGTTGACTGACATTTGGGATGATTTCAGAATCATAAAATATAATAAAATATTACAAAAATATCTAATCATATAAATATTATAAGACATGGAAATTGGTTTGAGCTCCATTTTATAAGTTGACTAACATATTTATTTTTAATTGCAGACTTTTGGATCTAAGCTAATATATATCGAGCACTTCACTCCAGTAGATATTATGCTCTTTCATAGTGCTTCAGTGTATGGGACTTTGTCTCAGATGTTTCTCCTAAAATTCCTTAGGGAAAATTAAAACGTATGGAGCTTAGAGCTATAAAATGCATATGGATTTGATGAGAAATGATTGAGATCTCTGACTTTTGATTGCAGACTTTGGGATCTAAGTTGACTGACATTTGGGATGATTTCAGAATCATAAAATATAATAAAATATTACAAAAATATCTAATCATATAAATATTATAAGACATGGAAATTGGTTTGAGCTCCATTTTATAAGTTGACTAACATATTTATTTTGACTTTTGGACTTTTGGATCTAAGCTAATATATATCGAGCACTTCTATATATATATATATATATATATATATAAATATAGAACTTTTCCATTTGCTCTCTATTTAGTCTCATTAATGTCTGGGCAAAACATTTGAGATGAAATAGATTTCATTTGTGATTTTTTTTTTTTATGTACACAATACACAAATTCCTAGATTAATTAGGAAAATCTGAATATAATCCACTTTTTAGGTAAATTTGGGAAGTTATTGCAGGGGGAAATCAGTTCTCAGAATTGTATAATCATACAATAAAAAAATTTATATTATTATCATTATATATAATGCATATTACAATACATATGATGTTATATTACATACAAAATGTTATAATCAAATATTGCAAAAAAAATAATATTTCTACTTAATTATATCTTATTATATATAAATTATATTATTATATCTAATTATATATTTTTAGGCATCTCATAATTCTCTCACATACAAGATTATTTGGAAAATCTGAAAGCATTTCACTTTTTAGGTGAATCTACACACTATTCGAACTAGTTTAACAAACTAGTTTCCAGTGAATGCGTCAAAATAATGTTACATTTCAATCCAAATGTATGTTTGGCTTTCAACTGAAATATAATGTTAATTTATGGGTACGGCAGTATTTTTGGAGCTCATGCATGGATTTTAAGGGTGTCCGTTGAGGGAATGCTCTCGGGATCATCATGCTTTCGGCTGAAAGACATTACAGGCGTGCAGCAAAGCAGAAGTAAGATGTGTTTTGTTAGTTGTCTGAAGCCCTGGGGCCCGGAACCATCTAAGCTCCATCACTATACCCCGGATTGCCCAAAATAAATCCACCTGTTTCTGGCAAACATTTTGTCATTAAAAAATATGAGAGCGAAAAACAGAATCCGCGGTGTGTGTGCTCTCCTCTAAAGCAGCTTTTGTTCTGGTGTCAAGATGGTTTGTTCAATGCGAGCTCCACTCCGGCGGCATTATTCACACAGAAACGGCCCGATCGGACAGCAATGCACTAGTAACTCACACGGGTGAGAGAGAGAGAGACTGCATTTAATAGATCACTGATCATTTATAGCTGCTTAACAACACAGAATGAAGACGATTCCCTTATTGCATTGCTCAAATGTTTCTCTTTTAATATAGAGTTCCCACTTATGATTGAGTCTCAACTTTGAAAGTTTCTCCAAAACCAGAATAAAAAATGGACAAATGAGTGATGAGAGTAAAGAGCAGTTCAGATCATTTGATGAGAAATGATTTGAGTTCACACTGAGATCTGTGATTTTTGACTGCAGATAATGGTGTAGATCAATCCCAGAGATCATGCATTTTTGTCGTATACTAGGTGAGGATTGTGATTTTTTTTGTGCTGTTTGTGTCTCCATTTGGAATTGCATAATGACTGTTTCCAAACGGGTTTCCCAGGTTTAATCTCTGCACGTTAAACATACCAAAAATTACACAGTTTTGCTTTAAGCACCAGAATTTGGTCAGATGATTAATAGTAAAGCACTAAACCATAATCTAATTTGCTAATAGATGTGTGAATTATTCATATTTATATGCACACAGTGAAAAAAATAATTGGTGTAGTATTTACTCTACAAAAAAACATTGAAGTAAGCATGACATTTTGAAGTAGAAGGACTGACATTTTCTTGAAGAACCTACTCCAATAATTTTCACAAATCTTATTGGTTGTGAAATGACTTTTAG